TTTAATATTATAAAAAATATTATAAATTTATATCAATAATAAACAAGTAATAATAGATACGATAATCAGTAATAAATCATAACATTATACTATAAAAATAAATATAAAGAAAAATATACATTAATTAGATTATTATCTAAATTATTATTATATATTATGTTCATACTTGATTTCATAATTTTCATAATTGATTTTCTTGAAAATGAAGTCTTATTTAAAGACATTCTAAGATTTTTTATTTCTGATTTTTTATTTTTGATTTTTTATAAACAGATCCATCCTACTAAATACTATAAATAGAGAGCATCCTATATAATAATGAAATTTGAAAATAAATGTTTAAAGATAATTAATTCAATACCAACCATCGAAAGCACCAATGCATTGTGTAATACCACCAAATTCAGATTTTGCAATTGATGTATTTCGTAATGCATCAAGTAAAGTAGTTTTGCCATGATCAACATGCCCCATTATTGTTACAATTGGATGTCGTTTTATTAATTGAGATTCATTTGGTAGAGGCCTATATAAAATTAAACATATTACATAGTATATTTAATTAAAATGATTAAAAATTGTTGTGTAGTAAAAAAGGATAAAAAAGAATTCAAATTTTAGAAAGTCAAACTAGTCAAATAAAGAAAAAAGTTTTTTATTTTTTATTTATTTTTTAAAGTGAATAACTTATTCATTTTGAAAATTGATATATTGCATAAAAATAATGAATTATCTTATCATTTCTTCTTTTCCTAGTTAGAAGTTTTTATATATCTGTCTTTCACTTGTACATATATTTAATATCTTAATATTTAGCACAGTATTTTCTCAACTAAATAAGTTATCCACTTTAGTGAAGATAAAAAATTATAACTTTAAAAATATTAATTTTTTAAACTGTGTATATTGATTTTTGTTTTCTTATTTATATATCTATTTTTTTATTATATAATAATCATATTAATTCATACTACCGTTTAGTAATATCTTTATATTCCATATTAGTTTCTTTAATTTTTTTTGATATGAATTTGTGTTTCCCACCAAGATATTTTACTACATTAGTTAATAAAGGCATACTCGTTAAAATACTATTTTTTTCATATGGAAATTTTTTATTTATAAAATAAAGAACATCTAAAACATCATTAATATCCCTTTTGGCAGAATCTGCTAATTCTTTAACTGTCATGTTATTCCATATTTCTATTATTGGTAATGATTTATTTTTAAATTCTTTATCTATTAAATTATTTAATTTGTCTTCATTAAATATTGTTTTCAGATTCTGAAAATAATTTCAATTATAAATATACATTTTAATATATTTATAAATTATATTTAAATCAAAATCATACTAATTCTGTTTCTTCTTTAAGTTTTCTTTGTTTAGTAAAAACTGGTGTAACATGATAATGATGATGAATATGTAATACATTCATGGTTTGTATAGTACTATTTATATTTTGTTCCCGCCATATAATTTCTATTACTTGTTTTGATAAACTGTAAATAGATTATATTTAGAAAAAGTATATAGTATATATATAAAAGTATATAATATATATAAAAGTATAATTCTATATACAAATTAAAATTTTAAATATTTAATAATAATAAAATATATTAAATACATAATATTATTAATATATATGTAAACATATATAAATATATTATAATATTGAATGTTTAAGAATAATATTATAAAGGTTATGTTTATGACTTGTGTATAATAAATACACAATAGGAAACATTATATGCAAATATATATTTATTAAATATTATATAATTTCATAAATAAAAAAATCAAGTTATTTATAATTCATAACATCAAAAAAAATACAAAATACCTAGATTGAATATATGTTCTGATAATAGAAGCAGCCATATTTATTCTTACATATTTATATAGGAAAAAAATATTCATATCATTGATATGTTTAATTTATTATACACTCATAATTTTATATATCATAAAGAAGATACAGAATCTTCTAAAAAAATCTAATATTAATGCATTTTTTATCTCTCAAAAATACTAAAATTATTTTATTGTTATATTCAATATTATCGAACCGACTCAGAATAATATTGACAATATCAACATTGAAACTGAAATTAAATTTTAATAAAATCACAAATAAAAACAAACAAACAAATAAAAACAAATACATGTTAAAAAAAAGTTACAAGATTTAAATCAAAATTGCTATCATGCAATGTCGTGTATCAAAACAATTACAAAGTAAGTCATGCAATTGGAATAGGCTATAATTTCGATTTCGTTGAAGAAAAAAAAAACTGAATGCTTAATAAAATCTATATTTATCAATACTAAAAATACATTTTTTTTTTTAATATACAAGAATACATCAAAATAATGAAACTACAACAAGAAGATATTCAAATGTCGTTACATATTACACTTCTCATATCATTCTTTTGCGAAAATTGATACATACTATCCGTTTCTAGTAAGTTGACACTTGAAGAGTGCAGATGATAAACTATTAAATGTAATATATATTATTGGCGATAGTTAATAGATGTGAATTTATAAGAAAGTATATGATACGATTATGTTTGTATAGATTGGTTATCTTGCTAAACTCTATATTTTTCCAAGTATCAAGCATAAGCAATGCACAGTATATTCAACAAGTCACTAATTCGTTTTTTTAAATTTTCAACTAAATAAATTTCATATTTTCCTTGAATAAAGTATATATCTCAGAAAACAAAAAATGAAATATTTATATTTTTTAAATTATCTTAATTAAAGATTAAGATACATTGTAGTTTTTAAAACAAAAAATAATAAAAATGTATTTAATTAACATCTTATATATCATTATGTGCTATATATACAAAGAGAGAAAATCAATTTTATTTTTAAAAGTACTTTAAATTAAAAATATTTATGAAACTAAAAAAAAATTATTTTTAAAATTTTCATAATAGAAATTCCATTAAATGTTAAATTTATCCTATATACAAATTGAATCTTAATTATAATAATATTAATTCAAAAAATAATCACATAAAATTTGAAAATTATTCTAATTTTTAAATAATATAAATTAATTGAATTAATTTCATAAATTCTTATATGACTATCATTTAAATTACATAACTATTATATATATAAATAAAATTATGATTTGATTTAAACATATAATTATTTTTTTTAATTGTACTGATATCGTTCATTTTATCAATTTTTATCAATCTTTATCTCAAAAACAATATGTTAATATTAAAAATCTAAATAATTAAACGAATAATAATAAATTAATATACAAAAAATATATTTCTTATTCAAAAGTATATTTCTTATTTCATATTTTAAAATAATATTTTGTAATTCGCTAATTTTGCTAAAGATTTAATTATATAGTTTCAATATCTGTTGACTCGATTGATTGAATATTTTGATTTTGTCAAGATTTATATCATTGATTATTTGATATTTTATTAATAATATATAATAATTATATTTGATAAATATGATTTTAGTATTAAATTTAATAATAAAATTTAATTGATTTTATAAAATATGAATATAAATTAATAAGATATAATTAATAAGATACATTTCATAATATAAATATATAGATATTGTCAAATATAAATGAGTTAAACTTGCTCATGTAAATAAGTCTGGAAAATTGAATAATCTGAAATTGGTTATCATCGATATCGATTCTTCTATTCTATGTTAATAATTTTGAAGTTAATTTCAGATCATTTGTACATGAACGTGAACTTTTATTCTTTCAACGTCATTATTCATAAATGGTTATTAACTAAAATAATTAAATAGTAATGAAGAAAAATTCGAAATTACAAATCATATATATTTTACAATTAAATTTCTATTCATTACATATAAAATATTCTGTTGATATTTTTTAAATTATAAATATGTCAGACAGTATGGAGCGAGATAAAATTGAATTGTTGACATCTAAAGAAAGAGAAGAAGAGGAAGAAATGAAACGAGAACTTTTAGGTATTTGAATATCTATTAAATATTTTAAATTTTATTTAAAATCTTTTTAATTATTGATTTTACAATTTTTACATTAATTTAAAAAAATATTTTTTTAAAAATAATTTTTAGATATGAAAATGTATGAAACATGGTATACTTATAAGGATATGAAAGAAATTTTAGGATTCATTAATGAATCTAAAGATATGGCAAATATGGCTAATGATGAAAAAAATGCACAAAAGGTAAATTTATTAATATTAATTTAATTAATATCTAATAAATATAATTTGTTCATTTATATTATATAATTATAATAATATTTAATCAATATATATTTTTAAATATAATATATTTTATTAATTGGAATTATGAAATTATATATATTGTATATTTAATCAATATATATAATTTATGTATATATATAATATAATATATAATATGATTTTTAGGAATTAATGCAATCTTCTAGTGATTGTTCTTCAGAAATAATGCTCAAGACAAATTTAATACAAGAACTAGAAATACAAGAACACATCAATAATACATCTCAGTCAATACATTCACATAGGTCTAATCATACATCTCCAATACATGAAAGAACATTAACTCATGATTGTAGTAATTCTGATCTTGCATCTGCTATTGTTGATTCAAGAAATTCTGTGTATAGAGGAAAAAATTTGGATAATGAAGATATATTTATTAAATCACAAGATAACTCAAATATGAGAGATAATTATTCTCATAATATGAGTAGATACATTTCTTTAAAATCGAAAAATTCTTCACAAGATTCGGATATTATAAATAATTCAGAGAAGAAAATGGACATGTATTCTGAATGTGATAAAAAATTGGATCAATGGCAAATTAATCCCCTTGATTCATGTGTTAGTGAAAATGATGTGCCTTTGCAAGAGCCAAATCGACCTGTAGTTCAAGATCGTATGCCATTTAGATTATGCAAAGATGCACAAACACCTGAAATGCTTGAGAAACTACTGCCTGCATTAAACTTTTATTTGAAACAAACAGCAGAATTATGGCATAGTTGGCATCGTACTACTGATACTAAGTTTCAATGGGGGTCACCCATTCAGGTGGGTACCTCCATCCAATCCATTTCTTACAGATCCTATCATTAATGAATATAAGAAAATATTAGATTTGGAAAGTTCATATTTTGACAATCAATATTAAATTTTACTGTGCATTTAATTAAGTTAAAAGAGGATTGTGAAATGAATTATAAATTTCTCAAATAATAAAATTATTCTAAAATTGAACATTAAATACAATTAAAAATTTTAAAATTAGTTAAAAAGTATCAAATTAGTAAAAAGAATATCTTATTTTCAATAAGATAATCTTATTATTAAAAGTAAACAAATGTAGAATCTGTTTTAGATATGATAATTTATTATAATTTCGTTATTATTTATTTTATTTTTTAAGTCTTTTTTTCTGAAAAGAAATTAAATGTTTTAATTTCTTATTTTATTAATTTTAATTTTTTTTTTTTTTCTAAAGAAAAAAAATGAAATTTTTAGAACAGATTTCTTTGTTTTTAATGATTAATTTAAGATTTTTTTTTATCAAACAGATTAAAGAAAAACTCATGAAATTATAAAAATACTTAAAAAATTACTAAATTTTTTTTAAAATATGAACTCTCTGAATATTTATTTCTGCATATATAAATTAAATTCTTCATAATAAAATATTGTGCCATGGAAAATAAAATTAAAGTTAAAATTAATTATATGCAATTATATTTTTTTTGAGTTTAATAAAATGTTAATATTTGTAAAAGTTCTAAACTATTTACAATTTTAATATAAATTTTTATTAATTCTTTTCAATAAAAAATGTGTAACTGGTTATTATAATATATAATATATAATATAATATCTCTTTGACATAAATAATATTTGATGTTATCTCTTATGATTAGCAGTACAATGGTTGTGATAAAATTAAACTAATATATTAAAAATAACTTTACTGGCAAAGTTTACATATTTTTTATTTATATATATACCAATAAGATAACTTGAAAACAAATAACATTAATGCTTTGTATAAAAATAATTGAAGATTATGATTGATGTTTCTTATAAAAATTGCATTTATACAAATACATGTATTCATAAATGTTTATAAAAAAAAAACAGTAATTAAAACTGTAAGCTTCAAACAATCTTTGAATAAATCATATTTCTGTAAAAAAAGAATAGTTTCATTGTTATAATTCTAATCCTTCTTTCAACATTTCTATAGGTGGGTCTTACTAAAGATAATTTGGATAAAAAATCAGTAACAAATATTAAGACTGAACAGAATGAAATGGAATGTATAAATAAATATAGCAATGAACGACCTAATAAACGTAAATCAACTATGATTTTTTCTCTTTCTGATGCAATATATTCTAGCAGTGATGAAGATGAATATACTACTAAAAAAAAAAAAATTCAATCTTATGAAGACAAAAATAAAGAATTAAGTTTAAATAAAATGGTATATACTGCTAAATGCAATGAGAAAAATAAAAATTTAAATCATGATAATATTAGTAAACTTTTTGATAATAAAGAAATTGAACATTTCAAAATGGAATATAAAAAAGAATCCAAAAACTGTTTGCCATCTGAATTACTTTCTTTATGTCCAAAAAAAATTATACCTCAAATTAGAAAAAATATTAATAAAAATATAAAACACATTGTTAATATGTCTCCCAATAATTCAATAGCACATAATAGCAATGAAAAAAAAAATGTAGTGAATTTGATATCCAAGGATAAAAATAACATTCTGACTGATGAAGAAATTCTCATAGAATTAGAAAAAGATAATGAAAAAGCTAAAACCACATTTGAAAATATTGAAATTAAACCATTACCCATAAAAAATTTTTCATATAGAATAAAAAATGAATGTATAACTTTAGAAAAACTTCAACTTGAGAAACAAAAAAAAATTGAAATTCAAAGAGAAAAAGCTCAAAAAAAAGAAATTGAAGAAAAAAAAAAAAAAGAAGAATTATATAAAAAACAAATAGAAGAAGAACAAAAAAGGGAAAAGCAAAGAGAAGAAAAAGAAAAAGATAAAGAAGAAAAAAACAAAAGATGGAATATAATATATATGAAATCAAAAAAAAAAATTAGCAAAAAAGATGAAGAAAAATTACTGAATATAAATAAACAAAATAAGATATCAATAGATGATAACAGATTGCTTGAGGTAATAAATCTTTGTATATTTTTTTAATAATATATATATATGTATATGTCACATAATGCTTTATATATCAACTTTTTTAGGATGAAAATACTTCCAAAATTAATGAAATTGAAATAACAGATAATAATCTTTCAAATAATATAAATTGTCCTATATGTAATAAATCTTTTCCAAATGATAAAATAGAAGTACATGCTGCTGGATGTGAACAATATATATCTGAAAATGAACATGAAAATGATGTACATTTATTAGAAAATAAATCATTACCAATAGCTATTAATAATCCCGAAATTCTTGAATGTGGTGTTTGTTCGAAATATAAAACGACTAATGGAATACATTATGAAGAACACGTTAATACTTGTTTACAAAGACAACATGAAGAAGAATCCTTAAATGGTAATAATTTTCATTCTATTTGAAAAAAATATATACAAAATCATGTTCTTAAATTAACTTATAATTATATTATATAATTGTATAATTTATAATGTTAGTAATATATATTTTTAGAATATTCAAGCAATGAATTCAGCAACATTCCTAATTCGCCTGTTCGTTGCTACCGACCAATTAGTGAACAAACTGATTCATACATAGATTATAGAAGACAATTTCCTTCAAACAGTAAAACACAAATATATTCCAGTAGAAAAAGAAAACGTTAAATACAACTCCTATCTTTAAAACAGCAAATGTGTATATATCTACATATTGATAAAAAAATTGATATTCTATCATGGCTTTAATAAGAGTACTATATCATTAATATCATTAAAATAAGATTAATACGTTATAAAACGTATAATTCAAACATTTTGAAATATCAAATATAATTTCTTTTGCATTTGTTGTTTATAACATTCCATATTGTATAAACATTTATGTATATGTATATATTATGTTACAATTTATATTATTATAATTATATTTTTTATTTTTGATTAAAATTAAATTAATGTTAATTAAAATATGTTTTTCTATCAAGTAAGAATATAAATTTAAAAATGAAATTTCATTTAAAAATTACTATTTTTCTTAATAATACGCACATTAAATTCAAATTTGATAATGTAAAAATTTATGTTAGAATATTTTAAAAAATACGTTTCATGCAAAAAAACTACAGTATAAGTGTAAAAAACAGTATAAGTGTACTATATCTGATAATCTAATATTAATTTTTATAGATCAATTGTAAGCATTTATATATTATATAGTAAAATGTATTTTTATACAGGATTATCGTCCTGAATAAAATATTTTATTTATACATTTTGTTTTATTCTATTTTAAATTATGAATTACTATATTAATTATATGCAAGTTATATAAATGGATCAATTAAATGTAATTATATATATTGAAATTATTTTCGTATTAAAAAAATATTTTTTTTGATATGTTATATAAGAAATATGATTATAAAAATTAAAATTAAAGTATGAATAATAAATTATTTTATGATTCATAAATACATATCTAATATATATCTAATCTCTTATCTATAATATATATTTCGAAGAAATGTAATAAGAAATTCAATTCAAGTTTATATAAGATTTAAGAAAATAATATTTAAAAATAACATAATATTATATAATATATTAAAAAATTTCATTAAATTCTCTTAAAACAAATATTATGAAAAATATTATGAAAATATTCTTTCAATTTATAACCATTATATTTTTAATTTATAATGTTTTGTCTCTAACCTTAGATGGTTCATGGATAGGTATTAAATGTTATTAATAATAATATAAATATATCAATATATTTTATAAAGAGAATTCTATTTATATAATATTATTCTTATTATTATTACATATATTTTTAATTTAGGTAAAATTATAACTGAAAAACATAAATATGGTAAGATTTTGCGAAAATAATTATTTGATATTAATATCTGTAATTGTAATATTTTTTAATCATATTTTTAGACATCACATTTTCTGCAACTGTACCAGGAGGTATTTATACTGATTTAAGTAATGCTCATATTATACCAAATAATTTTATTGGATATAATGATTTAACTAATCGATGGGTCGGTAATCAATCAGTTTTATATACTAAAAGTTTTTGTGGTAATTATAAATTATTTTATATTTAATATAAGAATATTAATATATTATATGAAAATATTTTTAAAAAAAATTATTAAAAAAAATTATTTATTTTATAGTGAATGACACTTTATTAAATGATCCTAAAGTATTATTAATTTTCCATGGTGTAGATACATTTGCTACAATTCTTTTAAATACTAAAAAAATTGGAGAAACATCAAATATGTTTTTAAGATATACATTTGATGTGACAAAATATTTAAAAGTAAGCAATTTATTTTTATAAAATTATTTATAATATTTATTAATACATTTACTTTTCAGAAAGGAGAAAATTTATTAGAAGTTTTTTTTTCTTCTCCTGTTAAAGTAGCTGAAAATTTATATAATGAACAAGCATCAAAATATATAATTCCTCCAATATGCAATCCAAATACTTATAATGGAGAATGTCATATAAATCATATAAGAAAAATGCAAGCAAGTTTTGCTTGGGACTGGGGTCCTGCTTTTCCATCAATGGGTATTTGGTATATTTATATTCATTATTTATTTCTGTTTTATTTATTACTTTATATTAATTGAAAAATATTTTAGGAAAAGTGTAGAAATAATTCCTGTAAATGAAATTTATATTATGGATATTACAATAGATATCCACAAAGAAATAAATTTTTGGAATATTATGATTACATTATTCTTTGAAACTACTTTACAAAAAAATAGCCAATTTATAATTTGTGATATTTCATCTGTTCTTAATATTAATGAACAATTAAATATTTATAATTCTACTAATGTTAATTTATATACAAATAATAAATATGTAAAAAGTACTACATTTCTCAATGTACCTATAGTATGTTCATAATCATAAAATATCTTTAATTATGTATATAACATATTACATAATTAATGTCTATCTATATATATATATTTTAAAAAAATTTTTTTTTTATATAGGATCTTGTGCATGAATGGTGGCCAAATGGTTATGGCAATCAAACTCTTTATTTATTAACTGTAACTGCAACTACTTCTACTAATGTCAAACAAAAAACAATACGTATTGGTTTCAGAACAGTAGAACTTGTACAAAAGCCTCTCAAACAAGGATTAAGTTTTTATTTTAAAATAAATAATATTCCAATATTTGCAAAAGGTAGTAATTTTATACCAGCTAGTATTTTTCCTGAATTGACTGCTCAGATGGATACAATTAAACATTTATTAAAATCTGCCAAAAAAGCAAATATGAATATGCTTAGAGTGTGGGGAGGTGGACTTTATGAATCTGAATTATTTTATAATATAGCTGATGAATATGGAATCATGATTTGGCAAGATTTTATGTTTGCATGTGGAATGTATCCTACTACAGAAGAATTTCTTAAATCAGTTAGGAAAGAGATAATACAAAATGTACGAAGATTAAAAAATCATCCTAGTATTGTTCTCTGGGCTGGAAATAATGAAAATGAAGCAGCTTTATATGATAATTGGTATGGAACTGGAACTAAACAAGTATATAAAACTGATTATATCAAACTTTATGTAAATTTAATCAAGAAAACAGTTGAACGATTAGATTCTACACGACCTTTTGTAATATCTAGTCCTAGTAATGGATTATATACAGAACAATATAATTATACTGGAAAAAATCCATATTCAAAGATATTTGGAGATGGTAAAATATATCTCTTATTTTATTATAGAAATAGTTTATTAATAAAATAATATTTTAGTGCATTATTACAATTATTTTAATAATGGTTGGGATATGCATCAATATCCTCGTGCAAGATTTTCATCTGAATATGGATTTCAATCATTGCCATCAATTTATACTATGTTGCCAGTTGCAAAATCAATTACTGATTTGGATATAGACAGTAACTTTCTTGAACATCGTCAACATTTACCATTGGGAATATTTTTTCTGAAAAATCTTATTTCAAAAAATTTAAAATTACCTAACATTCAAAATACTCTAAAAAAATTTGAAAATTATATATATTTAAGCCAAATTAATCAAGCAGTTTCTGTAAAGATACAGACAGAATATTATCGACAATCAATGTCGGAATTAAATGAAATAGGAGAAGGAATGACAATGGGTGCTTTATATTGGCAATTAAATGATGTTTGGCAAGCTCCATCATGGTCTTCTATTGGTAAATAATTATTATTGAAGATAAGATGTAATATTTAAATTATCATCATTAATTCTATATCTAATCTATAATTCTAATCATTCTATTTTTTTAGATTTTGATGGGCGATGGAAAATGCTTCATTATTATGCTGTGGAATTTTTTGCACCTCTTATTGTTACATATTATATTCAAAACATGGATCTTTCCATTTATATCGTTTCTGATAAAACATATCCAATAAAAAATGTTACTTTAGAAATGAATCTTTATACATGGAATAGTATAAAACCTATACAATCATATTTTCACTCCAATATAACTATTGTAATTATATGACAAAAATAATCATCAATATATTTTAATATATATTTTATATATATATATAATTATTACATTATTATTATTATTATAAATAATAATTTAATCAACATTTTTTTAATAGGAAGCCAATGCAGTAACTAAAATTAATGATAATGTACTCAAATATTCATGGATTTTAAATTCCACAACACTTAATGAATGCCAATTTAACATCACTAAAAATAATTGCATTACAACACTTACCTTAAGAGACAAAAATGGACTTTCAATAGCACCAAGAAATTACATATATCCAAATAATGCCCTGAAAAATATTGCATTACCAATAGCAAATGTTTCTGTAAGTTTATATTTAAATTTAAAAAATATATATTTTAATTACTTATTTTGTTTAACAAATATATATTATATTATTTTAGGTAAATATAAATGATTATCATTTATCTGAAAAATTCTTTAATTATTTAGATATTGAAATTGAATTAATAACAAATAATATAATACTTTTTGTATGGCTGGAAGCTGGTAATATTTGTGGTCATTTTTCAGAAAATGGTTTCCATATGTTTGAAAATACGAAAAAAATTTTATTCCATGCATGTGATGTTATTACATCAGAAATGTTAAGAACAACTTTAAAAATTACTACACTTTCTGACACTTATTAAATTGATTCAATTTATCCATTTTTAAATTGTAACTAAATAATTATTTATCTCCATAATATTAAATTTCATGTTTGTGGAAAATATGTTTCGCGATGTAAATAAATTTCAAATCCAATAAGAATAATAAATATAATTAAAATTATACTAATTATCAAATATATTAAATTTGACATTGTTAACTTATAAATTTATTTTTAAATTTCAAATGATAATTAAGTTTATAAGTTATTACTTAAAAACATACAATAATTTTTAATAACATTTTAATTAATAATAACAAAATCTGATATGAATAATACTGAAGTTATCAAACAAAGAAAAATCAATACATACAATATTATAAACAAAGAAATACATTAAATATATATATATATATATGTATTATTTTGATTATAAATTAGTTTCAATCAATTTAATATCAAATTAATAAATAATAATAAAAGTTAGAATTTTGAAATATAATAAAAAGTATTAATTTATTTTTCTTTTAAATTTTTCTTAAAAATTATAGAAAATTAATTTTTTTACTTCAATAATATATTTATAATATATAAATATATAATAAGCTTTTAGAGATTTCTTAAAATTTTTTAATTACATTATTAGCAAGATACATCTGTTGAAGAAATTGATCAAAAAATATATAAGCATATTATAATATTATATAAATTAATATATTTATAATAGAGTTATTATTATTTGAATATTCGAAATATTCATCATAATCCGAATTTGTTCTTTTTTATATAGAATATATTTGCTCAATAGCAATATCCATAAATTCGGGTAAGAGCACTAATTTATAATCTCTGTTATTATATTATATATTAAGTAAAATAATGCTAAATTTTATTTTTTTAAAGACTAGATAAAATTTTCATATTTCATAAATTATTTTTTTTTTTGCAAATTTAGATTTTTTGTATTATATTGTATTATATAATAATTTTTTTTAATATTTTATTATTTTAAAAATGTGAAAATTAAAAATTAAATATTTTTAAAAATCATTTAAATTTAATTTTTATATAAATTTCATTTCAAATAGTTAAGACTTAAATTTAAAACATAATTAATTCTTAGTATTAATCTTATATTTTTAAAGATTAATGTATGAGATTCAATAATTCAATAATTTATAAAACTTTGTTAATTTTTCTTCTACTATTTAACAATCAATTAGAAATTTTTTTATCAATGTTTAATTTCTGCATACGATATAACTTCTTCTGATGGTGAATGCAAATAACGGCGACTTAGATTAATTGCTACCATTATACAACATAATAATAATGGACCAAAAATTACACCTTCTACACCTAAACAAAAAATTCCACCTGCTATGGAAAGACCTGTAAGATAAGGATGTCCACCACTAAAATATAAATATAAATCATTATATTTTGTATATAAATAAATAAAATATTATTGAATATAAAAAAATTATAAATAAAAATTAAAATTACATATACCCTTTAATTTCCTTGTAGAATTCAGTTACAACAATATTACAAGGAAGAAAATGAAACATGAAAAATAGAATAGCAATCATAGATCCTCGATTAAACCAGAGTTCTATAGTAGCTGGGATACAAGCAAAATATGCATCCAAAAATGGAACAGCTCCAAGTATTGTTGCAAAAGTTGATGGTAAATAAATTATTTTTACTTGAAACAAATTATGTGTAAACCATGTCCACATGCCAAAAAAACAAGCAAGCTTAAATGTTGCAGTAAAAACTCCAATTACAGCTTCTTGTAATGCTACAGCAAATCTACAAAACATTAGATATTTATATCTATTTTTATATAATTTGATATATATATATATATATCAAATTATATATATATATATATATATATATATAT